CACATCGTTGATGGGAAACGCGTCTTGGCTACCATAACAATGACACTTAAATGAAATTCGGGAGCCACTTGTGGCTGACAGCGCTGAGCAGGGTATTTATGTGGTTGGACACCAATGGACAAATTAGTGCCACCGCAGACTCAACCATGGAATGGGGCAATGAGCACATTGTTAAAAATATCAGCATGATTAAAGTGACTTTGAATAATTAAGCTACTGGGAGCCGGGGCTGTTGAATGAACACGACAAAATGACTGTACATCGTTCGAATGGCTCACCCCAGGGTTATCCAGCAAGAATGAATAGCTTTTCGTGTTTATGTTTATTAATATATTAAATGAGTATCTCGTAGAGTGGAAACAGTCGCCTTATTGTTACCTTTGACTACCAGTCCCGGATGCGCACATCTTGCTTCTTCTAAACTATTATTCAATCCCAGAGCCCAAGTAGTTAAGGCCCGGAAATCCAGTAATTACAACTAACCAATCTTTGAGCCGGCTTAAGATAAGCCCGAACCAAAAAATATTTAAAAAAAATCTGATTGACTTAAGAGATATTTTTGTTCTATTTGGGATAAATCCAGTTGAATAAAATTACTTTTATTTAAAGCACATTTAATTGTTCTATTGAAAAGGATAAGAAAGCAATAGTTGAGCTTGTAGCCCTCTTGAATTCTTTGTCATATTTGTATTTGATGTGGGCTAGTGTTCAATAAATAGATCATATGAATAAATTGAGCCACAGACATGGTTAGCTGCTGTAACTGTGACCTATTTGAGTTTGACTAGCACAAGTCCTAGATACATAAACGCTCGATATTCGATGTGTGTTAATAAACAGGACAAATAACTTACCGCACGCTGAGTGTCTGTATGTGTGGGTTGCCAATTTCAGGACCCTAAGCGTTGGACTAAAAGTGCAAATGACGCAAGCAATTCGAATACATATCCCCACCATCATATTGTGAATACTTGTGTGGGAAGCCTTGGCATAAATCAATATACAAGTATATGGTGTCCGTGTCCGTGTCCAAATCCCGAAAACGCTTCACTGACAATTCCCGTGTGCTGAAGCTGCTATGCCATAAACTTATAATGACCTCGAGGAGCTGGCATGGCATGTGAAGACTCGTGGAATATGAGCATGTGCCGTGCTAGTCATCCAAATGGGCGTTGACACCCTGCCACCTGGGCTGCGCCCTTTTCCTAATGGTTTTATGCTGTCGTCGCCAGATGGGCGTGGGTGGGTCACGGTTTCGGCTAGAGAATCTAAGCTTCGGCCTAGCCGATTTTCGGATAAGCTCGATTATCGCACGACACGAAAATCTGTAGAGTGTGGTCAGTCAGCATAGAGTGGGTATTCAGTGCATAATTGGGCCTTAATTACGTTATCCAGGTGTGCTGGCTACTGTTGTTGACCTTGCCTCGCCCAGCTCAGTCAATATATATATATATTAACCTATCCATTCTATCCTATAATATACATATGTATGTACTCCACAGCACACGCCGCTGGCGAGACAAGCCCCGATTATGAGAATGTCTACGATGATGATGACGCCTCGCGCTCGCCCGGCAATTTGGCCAAGTCCACAGCAACTCCAATGGTGCCATACTTCGATCAGAAGACGGCAGTCATCTATGTGCAGCCCAATGCGACTAATGTGAAGCTCGATTGCCCGGTTAAAAACTATGATGGTAAATTTAAGACACTTGGGGTGTGTCCCAGCTGGGCATTAATTGTCATATATCGTGCTCCATATGCTTTTAGCTATACACCATGCGATACTCTGGTACCGGGACAAGCAACTCGTCGTGAATGGCAACCAGTCGATCATCAACATCTACAGTCTGGACAACCAGTTCGTCCTGAATGTGCCGCTGGCCAACGCGACTGGCCACAAGTTCGAATGTAACGTGATACCGGCTAATGTGAGCCGCCAGATTACCATCAAACTTGGCCTGCCGCCAACCAGCCCGCCTCCGAGCTCAGCCCCAAACCTCAGATGGCCAGCAGCTGTGAACTGCATAATCCTGAGCGCGCTTCCGCTCATCTATCGATCTGCATCAGCCCGTTTTTGAATATCCGAAATGTGAAACAACATTTAGCCCATGCACCACCGGCACTTGAACATTTTATGGCAGAAGGACTTACAGAACTGCGCACACTCAAAGACGAGCTTGAATCCAAGTAGTTAAATGAGCTGATTTTCGAATTAAAGATTCCTTGGTTCCATTTCCATGCAATTGGAGCATTGCTTATACAATTATGTTAGGTGTTGCTTTATTATTATAGAATATAGATATAAGAAATAATATATTTAATTGCATCGCATGTATATAAGGATATATACATACCAATATGTTTAGTGGTAAAATGTTAAAGCTACTTTTGCGACTAGCTATTAAATGGACGAATCCATGTTTGTAAGGTGCAAGCATCTCAGCGCTGGACCTGCTTAACTAATGTGTGTGAGAAATGCTTATGAAATATTATAGGATCAATAACTAAAACCGCGAGAAGATACAAAAAATATTAAAACTATATGTCCACGGAAATAATACAATTAAACATGTTATTCCCTTGTACTTATTGCAGCTATATATTCTGAACCTAGCCTAAAAAGTTAGGTCGAGCAAGTTTCTAAATTCCAAAAATATTTAATGTGCACAAGTTCTTAAATACGTAATGCCCATCAAATTCAAGATAAATAACAAATAAACAAAAAGGGTTAACAGCTTGTTTTGCACGTATTCTAAAATGTTGCGATTAAGTATTTAGATTAAATATACGATTCGAGCAGAAAAATATATATCAAAGCTAATGTTCATATGGAAAATATAATTTTATATGTGCAAATTATATTTATTATATTTTGTTGAACAAAGTAATTAAACAAATACATGAAATGTACGAGGACAAGTGACTTAAGTTGATACAAAAACGAAAATAAATATTTTGAAACTCTCAGAGAAAGTGAAATAAATTGGAGGTACCAAACACACACAAAGGCTAATTGTTTATTTTACTTTAATGATATAATCATTAAGACAATGGCTGAAAATGCAGCCTGCACAGAACTGAAGGAATTGTGCGGCGCAATCAATGCAGATATCGTTTAAAACTTCAATTTCAGCCTTTTATGCTGTAAAACCCACCCTTATGGAGACATACAGAATGCCATAGTGAGCGCTTGCTTGGCTGCGCTCGACAGCTCGAATTGAATAGTGGAGCGGATAGGGGCGGCTGAAGAAGTAAACACCCGCCACGGCACGGCACGGCGTAGAGGGCCGCGCGATAGGGACAAACAATGCACGCGGGCTCTGTCTCGCACAGGCAGCTCGCCGGGCGTCAGCCGACCAGCTGCAGCTTGTGGGTAGGAATTCCGCAATGTGCGCAGGACATGCAGGCCATATGGCAGGGCAGGCTAAACAACACAATGGGCCACTCAGTGGCACACCAAGGCCAGGGTGGTGGAACCGACATGCGACACAAGCCAAGCGCGGCTCAGAAACATGTTTAGCTTCCTGCGAGCGGCAGTCGACAACTGCAACGCGGCCAGGACACATCTAGTCATCGAATCAAATCTGTGCTGCTGCATACCGGAAAGTAAGTTAAAACCTATAGCAAAAAATTAAGGATTATACTAATTTGAGATCTCAGATCTCAGATCTCTCTCTCTCACTTCAGATGATTCCAAACACAGAAACCATTGCCACGGCGCAGGAGAGCTGTGAGGCTGTCGCAAGCGAGCGAAACTTATGCGAGGAAAGCCGCTGCAATCGGCTCCAGACAGCGGCAGATGTCTATCACAGAATATTGGAGCATATGCAAAGGCAACCAGCCTGCCAAGAAGCCTACAACTATGCACAAAATCCGTACGACGAGGTGTTGAAACAAATTTGGATTGCAGCCTTTACAGGAGGCAATTTATACTATCGCGCGTAGCCCGATACGTTAAGAATTAATTTCGAAGAAGAAAGAACGGCTATGAACGCATATAAAATACCCTTTGGTGGCTTTCGGGTCTGCAAGTATGCGGAATATTGTGAAATATTTACAAAAATATGAGTATCAAATCACATTTTCGACCGGCTTTTTCTTTAAACCTCGATGATATATCTTTACGATATTCATAAGATTTGGCGCCTATATAATAAGCATGGAACAAGCAGGCTAAGATCAAATCAAAGAGTTGCTCATATCAGATCTTTGATTTTCGAACGTTTATTCCTATGGCAATACACTATACTTGTCCGTTACGACAGTCTCCGACACTTGTATGTTTATATGCTCGCAGCTGTCTCCTCCTACAAGAATATAAAATATACACATTAAGTATATTAAATGAAGCTGACAATTTTTAGGGACCTAATTATATACATATTGGACTGATCAATTTTCTAAAACCTATAATATGACATCATATACCGATATGAATAATTGAATTAATTAGTCCGTGGCTTATCGTTTTGTTATCAAAAGCTGAGAATTTTAAATAATTTGTAAAGGCTTGAAGGCTTTTCTTGCCCTTAAAAAAAACGAGTTGATTATATAAAAAAAAATTGCTACATTTATTACGTTAACATGAAACCTTCAAATTGATTAATATGTTAAGAAAAAAAATATGCATAAATTAGTTTATTTTTTTTTTAAATATTGAATTTATTAAAACCATTGTATTATAATCAAAAATCATTCAAATATATATATATATATATATATATATATATATATATATATATGTACATACCTCAGACATGGAATTGCAACATGACAACGATATTTATGTGGAAAATACTCAATGGTATCTGAGGTCAGATCATCCATAGAGACTCGCTCGGCTCAAGAAATGATCTCAGCCAGCTGTAAAAGTAATTTGTTTGGTTCAAATTTTACATTGAATGTCGAATAATTGTTATTGTGCTGAGCATATTATTTATTTAATGGAATTTAAAAAATTTATAAATTTATTTGATAGTCTTTATTATCTTATTGAAATATGCGCATATTTTGTTATAAACTTGAACTTTTCATTGATATTTAAATATATGCATTTATCCAAATTTAATTGTTTATAAACAAAGTGGTACTGTACTTTTTGATGCTGATTTAATAAGCACTCTGGCTGTTATAAAAGTTTTATTTTATTTATAAATTCTATTGCTAGTGACAAACTCATTGGAAAGGCGTTATTTGTATTGTATCTATTATAATCAAATGTTTATCAGCTGCTTTTAGTTTATTAAAATTATTTCGTTTATTTCTTTCACTCCATACTTAGTTAAATATATTTCGAAAGTAAGAATAATTTGGTTGGCCTTCGGAATGCTCACATCCTTCAACGTGCCGAATTATGTGAATACTTACAGGGAGTGTGATAAGGCGTGAACATTATAATAGAAATTAAAAACTTGTTATCCTTTAATTAATGTATTATATATTTCATATTTATTTAGCATTGGAAATTTCAAAAGTGTCTTTCCATCCAAGGCCAAAATAAATTGAAATGTTTTCTTGATTTTCAAATTAATATTATTCTTGAAGTTTTTTCTTTTTTTTTTTTAACTATTACATCGCTTCTTCGCTTGTCCTTTTATATGTATATGTATTTTCAACTTATATTTTCTTAGAGAATTTGCGTATTATTTATACTTTTTCAGAATGGTGTACGTATTCGGTTTATAAGACTTGATGGGAGGTTCGCGCATACGTTTCATGTCAGTTTGGTATGGCTGAGGCCGTTTATATGCAGCTGCGTTTGTTGGTATTATTGATGGGCGTGCTATAAAATTATTCATTTTTAATATGTTATATGTACGTAAATATTCAGTAGGTATATAAAGTTATAAATAGAAAATTTGTTATTTTAAAAATTAGTCATCGTTCAAATGCTTGTTTTTATTTTAATAGTTTAATTGCACAATCAATGCAATCGATATTATTTATTTTGTTGAACCCCAATACCCAAAAAGAATACCCCCCATAATTAAGTTGTTTAAAGGGTTTTCTAGCTACAAATCGTTGGCTCAACTTACGTTTGGTGTATTCATAGCCCGATGGTGCGCTACGCTTGGGCATGCGATGATCATACTCGTAGGCCACCTCTTCAGCCTCCTCAGCTCTAAAAATGGATGGCATTATATTAAACGAAGTGAATATGTTAGCAACAAGTTTAAAGCTCAAATTTGTTATACGCTGCCTCATTTGATTCGTATCCGTTGCTTATTTGATGCTTACAGAAAATTTAATTTAAAATTATACTTTACAAGTAACTTACTCGGGCGGATTTTCCGCTGTTCTCTTGATAAGATTCAAGTATTTCGGTGCGCCGCTGCTGCCACCGAACTTCTTGTCAAAAACGGATCTGCAATTAAGAATTGATTGCATTTTCAATGTGTACAAATAAGATTTGGGCAATTCCGGTGCGTACCTGTATGCCTCCAGATTAGGCCCGTGAATGTTTTTGGCAGACTCCGGATCCATTTCCATGAGCTCGCGCAACTGTTCATGTGAGACTTCGTCGTTTTTGTCTGGAATTAGATACTTACGGATCTCGGCCAGGGCGTAAGCGATGCGTGCATAGCACTCAGCTGGCGTGGCCACAGTGCTGACTTCTAGGAAGAGGTCCTTTTGTAGATGAGCATAGCGCGGATCTCCAGAATTTCGCAGCTGCTCCTCCTTGCTGCGGTCACGTATGGAGCTGCGCCCTTTAATGGCAATCTTGCATTGTGTTTCGTCTTGCAGGCGACGCAGTGAGTTGCCTTTGGGACCCAGAATCTTTCCAGTGAAATTGAACTGCAAGTAGCACCGATTTGTATAAGCCGCACTTAAATATTCTGTTGGTATTACCTTTGGGTATTGCTTGACTGGCACGAACACCTTTTGTGTTATTTTCATTGGCTTCTGTTTGTAAACGTCGGCGTAAAACTCGCGGCCAGGTATGCGACCTGTGCAGTACACACGATCCACGGCTGCAATTAAAAACATATGTAGGTAAAGTATGCAAGCTATATGTTAGTTTTTTTTCTATACCTTCGTCAATTAGCAAGGCGCATAATGGGAACTCGGCGGACAGGCGCTGGCGTTCCTCATCTAAATCGGCCAAGAATTTCTGCGCTACTTCGTTTAAGCGCGGCTGATGCTCATGTGGAGCTGGTTTTTCGCTAAATTCACTATTCGAATTATCCATATTAAGATTTTTCAATTAAATTCTCGTGAAAATTGTGTATAATAGTTTGCAACGCTATTCTTCTTCTTCGATTAAACTTGTCAAGTTGTCGGCGATTGCAAGTTGACACGACAATGTTATCGATGCTTATGGCGGTAGGTCGATACTTTTTTTTGGCGGCGGCAGACTGTTGGATAAAGCAAAACGCATTATTTACCAGAAAGCAGCGGAAAAACAAAAGTTGCCATGGCAAGTGAGGATTTGTTTCAAAATGATTACTCCGAGGAACCCGATCTGGGGCAGGACTTTGATAAAGGCGAAGAAATGAATATAGAGGCGGCTGAACACGGCGCTGAACAGGTTGAGCAGGCGATTGAACAAACTAACATACCGAGCTCCGCGAATGTTGATCCTTCGGCTTCCACGACCACTGAACAGGCAAAAACAAGTTAGTAGCTTACGCTTAAATTCAATTCACCGAATGATATTTGTAACTTGTTTGAAATTGTTAATATTCTTCTAGGCAACGCCAACAAGACATCTGAGCACGAACATGACGCTAAACTCACACAGCTGCCGATGGGTCGCATTCGAAATATAATGAAACTGGATCCAGATCTCCAAATCGCCTCAAATGAGGCTGTTTTTGCCGTAACAAAGGCCGTGGAATTGTTCATAGAATCGTTAGCGCGCGAGGCCTTCACCTATACGGCGCAGGCCAAGAAGAAGACCGTACAGAAGCGAGACGTGGATCTAGCCATATCCGCTGTGGATAGCCTTATGTTCTTGGATGGCGCATTGAATTTTTAACAACAGGAAATAATAAACTGCATCTATTGTGATATTACAATTACTTCTGATTATGTTTTATTATATGTGTATATATGCAGCTGTATATCCACTCGTTGTTATGCAGCTCCTCCACAGTATGAAGAAAACGCTTATGATATGCTTCTATTATAATTTGTATTTATTTGGGATAGTGTTCGTCGAACAGAGAGAGAAGTAGATTTTAAGTATTATATTTGATTCATTCTATTTTGAATGCGCACATGTTTGTTAATAATTATATAAATAATAATCAAGTATATTAGACAATTATGTTTTTCATTCTCATTCACATGGATAACGTGGAAAGCTTTGAATGGAAACGAAGCCGGAAAATTAATTATGATGTGCTTTTTCTTTTATGTTTGTTTTTATTTATTGAAGCCGTTTCTCATACTTACTTTGTCGTTGGGTGTTTCTGTTATTTTATTTTTGCATTTACTTTTTTTATTTTATTTGTATTGTTTATCTTCATAAACTTATTTGAAAAATAATTCCAAAACTTACGCTAACATTTTGTTAAGAATAATTAGGGATTGGTTGTTACGATTGCATATAGGTGTGTGTATAATGTTTTTGTTTTGTTCTCTTGTCTCTTTTCTTATATTATATCTGATTTTGTGAATTGTTTTTTTCTTTCTTTTTTTTTACGATTTTTACAAAATATTTTCAAGTTTGATATAGCTGTTTTTTATCTTTTGTTTTTTTTTTTTGCTAGGTTTGTTGCATTATTATTAATATTTGTGGGTTTTGTTTTTTGTTTGGATTAACACAAATTAAATATTTTGAAAAACAATTACTATAAAAAGGTTTTGCATTTAAATTTTGTTTGGTTTTTATTTATAAGTAAGTGTATGAATAGATTTGATGTATTATTGGTTGGATTATTGGACTTTAATATATTTTGATATTTTGTTGTTGTTGTTGTTGTTGGTTGTTGTTTTTTGCTTGTCGATGGATACAAACTACTTAACTTTGTTGATTGGGTTTGGATTTGGAAATAAATTAGCGCATTTTTGGATATGGAGCCGAGCGATAACGCACGCTTTCACGAGACCGTGATCCAGTTTCATAGTGTGCCGATGAATGTGATCCCGAGCCCGATGTCGTTGGTCTATATGACGATGAAGAACGACCGTTGCTTGGTTTTGCTATTTTGGAAAGAATTTTATTTGTTGTTTAGATTTCAATTGTTTTTGTCTCTTTGTTTTTTTTTTTTTATTTCTTTTTCTGCATTATTTAAATGTTTTTCTTTTTTTTTTTTGTTTTGTTTTAATTGGCCTTAAGATACATAACAAAAAAAAAATAAAAAGAAGTAGTTTAACCGTTTTTGAATGCACTAGCCCCAGTTTTTTTTTTTTTTTTTTTTTTTTTTGGTTATTTTCTTCATACAAAATTACTTTTACTAATTAATATTTGATCACAGATTGTTTTTGAAGTAGGTAAATATATATTGGCATTTATTTGATGTATGCGAATTGAATAAATAATATTTGCTTTAAATGTGTGTTTGGAATGCTTTTCAACGAATCTTGTTAGTAGTTTGTCTTGAGCTTGTGATTTTCGGTCGTTTGATCGCCTTCTGTCAGGCGTAGTGCATTTAAAATCTTGTTAAATTCATATATATATATGTGGGTGAGACTTCCGTTTTATCATGATTTTGATTCGCGTTTTTACATTGATATATATATTTTTTGGTATTTTGTTGTTTCTCTTGTTCTCTTTTTTGTGTTCGACTCAGGTGCTTTACAACGCAGTTGAATTGTTTCGATTTTTTTTTTTTTTGTCAACAGTTGCGCGCGGTTTATTTATTATTCGTTTGCAAACAGTCCAGCTGCGGGAAAGACATTAATTATCTATTTACGAACACCCTTACCTGTGTAGGCCGCCGCATACGATGATGAAGACGAGTGCGGATGATACTCCCGACGATAGTCACGCTCATATGAGCTGCTGTCGTATTGGGCGTGATGGCTTGAATGCTTCGACGTCTGCGGCGGCGGCGGGGTCGCATATCGATCGTATTCGCCGTGGTGATCGTATAGCTCGTGATCCCGTGACCTATGTGAAAAACCAATTAAGTCAATGTAATAATTGGTTGTTATTTGTAAACCTACCTATGAGCTTTAACAATCCCATAATTGGGATCGTCCATTACATAGCGCGCCTTTTCGAGAATGGAATACACCTTGGGCTTAGATGTGGCTGGCGGTGGTGTGCTTTAATAAAATACAATTATTTAGTGCACATTTTAAGAAAATAATTATAGAAGACCAAAAAACGAATATCTCTGGCGGTCTAAAGAAGCGTAAGCTAAACTTTTCATCTGACAACAGAAATATATTTAAGTATCTTACTCGAATGCTTCTAAAATAGAGAAATATGCGAATTGGGATTGTCTCAAACTAGTTTTTTATGGACGTATCAGACTTTACCTAGATATGCTGAGCGCTTGTCTATTTATTTAATACAACATATTGAATTCTGCTAGAAGTGTACTTTTGCCACACTGTGCAGCGGCAGGCGTTTATATTTACCGAGTGCTATAGGCGCCATGTTCACCATACGACTTGGAGTAGTGATGAGATTTCTTATACATGCGCTCCTTGCCGTCCATTTCGCGTAATTGCTCTAGACGAATGTCATCGTTGGCGTCAGGTATCATGAATTTACGTATTTCACATAGGGCATATCCCAGTCGATGATATGCCTCAGCTGGTGGCGCTACTGTTGATATCTCTACGTGCAGATCCCTGCTGAGATGTGCATATTTTGGATTGCCAGAGCTGCGCAGCTCCTCCTCCTTGCCGTGATCCCGCATCGAATTGCGGCCCATAACGACCATTTTGCACATCGTCTCCTCCTGCAGCTGGCGCAGCGTGTTGCCCTTGGGCCCCAGTATTTTGCCAACGAAATTGAATTTTGGATACTCTTTGATTGGAAACAGCACCTTTTGGGCCACCCTAATTGGCTTCTCGCTGTACACATTCGCGTATATCTCTGGCTTCGGAATGCGACCACTGACCAAGATTTTCTCCACCTCTGCAAGTAAGCAAATCCGGTTACGCATTGTGCTCAGAATGACTTACGTGTACTGTGCGCACCATCGTCCAGCAGACGCTTTGTTATAACATTTTTCTTTTCGAGTGTTTTTTTCTCCATTAAGCACTCTTGCAGGTATGCGTTTGTCTTCTCGTTCAGCTGTGGCGTGTCATGCAGCGGGGCGTGGCTAGTTGTGTGCCCATGGCTGCCATCTACTTCGGGAGCGTCTGCTGCGCCGCCGGCGCCGGCTGCCTCATCATCACGTCGCTTGCGCTTGTAGTCGGCCGCGGTGTCCTCATTGTAGTCTCTGTCGTAGTCGCGCGGCATTTTAATTGTTTTGAAGCACTTTAATTATCTATAACTTGATGGCCAATTATCGCTTGGTAAAACTAATTAAGCCAAAGCGAAATTCAAAGTTCAATTGTAAAATTGATGTGCCTGAAAAAATTTTCTTTTATGTATGGGGTAATCAGTGTTGCCGTTTTGGTTGTTGTCCTACATTATTTGGTATTTTCTGTTTCTAATGCAAATTGAAAACAGTATTATTTGCAAGGTATTTGCTTCAGCTTTACTACTTAAGTTTTTTAATTGTCGCGACAAAATACTTGATTTTGTCTTATTTTTTAACGTATTATTACTTTTGCAACTTTAAGCGTGTATTAACAACATTTTCACATTTTAACCTTTCTAACATGAAGATATTCTTGCAAAAAATAACTTTTTGGTTTTTTTGTTCACATACGATGGTACCATTGAAAGTAACAAGGGTCGCGAGCAATCGATACTCGGCCATAGCTAATCGATACTATCGATCTGAAAAATTCAAGTATAGTGGTGGTCAAATTGGCACTTGGGCTTGGCAGGGCTGGATAGCTTACGATGGAAAGCGCGTTTTTTCTATATTCGCCAAATATGTACACACTTTGATGGAAAAAGAGAGAAAAAATTAGGGCCACAAAGAGGTTGCAAACATATTTGATAAATTCGAATTAAATCGACTGCTCGGCGACGGGGCCATTAAGATAAAACGCGCCACGCACTGTGCCGATTCCTTTTGGTAATATTCGCCACATCAATTGACTACGGGCACCGTTAGGGAAAGCAGGACAAATGGCGGAAAACGGAATGCGTGTCGGCCCAGGGTCATCGGCGGCGGCTGTCAATGCGAATGCTGGCGCCAGCAACGGGGAGCACGAGAATGAACACAATGCTGCTGACAACGAGAAGGTGCAGCCGGCGCGTCTAAACGAATCGGCCCAGAAATATATGCAGGAACTGATGAGCGAGCGATCGCGCATGGAGAGCCAATTTCCATTGGCATTAAAACTAATTGACGAAGGTATGAAATAACTTAAATCTGTTTACCCTATGTACACACTGACTGGTAAATACTGATGCATACATACATAAATTTGCCCGTGTGTGTGTGTATATATGTAATTGTTCCGATCTTACAGCTTTGGAGAGGGTGCAGCTGAACGGGCGCATCCCGACGAGAGACCAGTACGCCGATGTGTACCAGCAGCGGACGATTAAATTGTCGCAGAAGGTGCACGTGCCGATTAAGGATAAGAAGTTCAACTATGTTGGCAAGCTGCTTGGCCCCAAGGGCAACTCGCTGCGCCGGCTGCAAGAGGAGACGCAGTGTAAAATTGTTATTCTGGGGCGATTCTCAATGAAGGATCGCACACGCGAGGAGGAGCTACGTAATTCTGCGGACGCCAAATATGCCCACCTGAATCTGCCGCTCCACGTCGAAGTGTCCACCATAGCGCCACCAGCCGAGGCGTACGCTCGTGTTGCCTATGCACTGGCCGAGATCAGGCGGTATCTTATACCCGATAAGCACGATGATATTCGTCAGGAGCAGTACCGGGAGCTCATGGAGGATCCAGAAGCTGCCAAAAAGTTGACCCTGCGCCAATTACAACAGCAGCAGCAGCAACAACAGCAACAGCAGCAGCAACAACAACAATCAACTGCTGCCGGTGGCAGCGGCAACGGCAACAATCGCTCCGGTGGCAACTACAGGTGAATTGCATTTAAAACCTCATCCCATTTACGCCAAGCCACCAATCCACATGCTCGTCAATTGCAGACAAAAGTATCAGCAGCAATCGCACTATCATCACAACGACGAGACTGTCTACTACCGTTCACATAACAATGCCTATCACCAGCCAAAGCCCTATGTGCCAGGTGAGTGCCATCTAATTAGCTGTGCAGCTCGTTGAGTGTCGTTTCCAAAATCTCTTTCAGCTGCCCAGCGGGGCAATACAATGCATACAACCTTGCCGCCGCAGGGAATTGTGCGTGACTCACCTTGCATGGTGGTCAGCTCGGCCAGTTTTAATGGGCGCAACGCTGGCCTGGGCAATGCCGGCGGCGGGATAATGGCAAATACCATTGTTGCTGCCGCTGGCGGTGGAATTGGTGGTGCTGTGCCGCCTATAAGGCATTACCGTCCCGCTGCCCCATATCAATTTGTCAAGAAATAATATAGAAGCAATGCGCCGCCGCCTGCCGCTCGCTGTTTGTTCACCATTTTGTCATCATCTCATCCAAATGCATGCCCCGCCTAGCAATGTGCATGTGCACGTGCATGCGCCGCCATTTGATTGGGCTTTGGTCGGCTGAGGCCACAGCCGGATCACGCCACACACTGCTCCAAAGGTAGATGTAATAATTATAGAGACACACACACTCACACACACCACATACATATACATTAAATTTTCACACATTGACTCTAACAAGATTTTGAGAGTGGAAAACAAGAGGAAAACCTAACCAAAACGAAATGAAATGAGTAATGTACGTTTAAGAAATTAGCCTAAGTAGACGAATGCTCCAAATGAACACACACACACATACACAATGACACTTACATATACATATATATATACACACACACACACACACTGACAAACGTTGATTGGGCTTTCGATTGATGACGGGAAACTCGTTAGATGCCATTTTTTAAGCTTTCCGTATTTTCATTTTCTATTTTTTTATTTTTTTAACTGTGCGTTCTGCTCTGCGAGCGTTTTGTGAAGAACTTTTCGTTGTGGATCGTAGCTGTTATCCAGACGGACCCCAAGGTGTCTTGATTTTTATTTCTGTTTTGTTTCCTCTTTTTTTTTAATAATCCTTATTGACGCATTTGCTCGTTTATCATTTCATATTTATATATATATATATATATATTTAATGCATACGTACGAATTAACAATTTATTTAATTATTTTTTCAATGCAACCATTTTTTACAAGTTCGTTAACGACGAGGAGGCTTTTTATTTGTTACGTTGCGCAGACAAGTCAAACTTTAATTGGAATCCGCGTCGGACATAACAGAAACATGTTTTACTTTGCGTGTAGTATAATAGTATATGACTTATCACGTACACACATACATTAATACATATACCTACTACATATAATCAAGCATACAATAAATATAAAAAAATATAAACCAAAAACACAAAAGGAAAAAAAAATTATAGAATCAACAATTAACAATGCAAACACGAATCTATAACATATATCGACGAGAGCGCGATTATGACTACGATAATACGACAACCTTACAAGCTTAGCATTATCACATCATACAAAGAATACAAGAAAACAACAAGAAAAAGGATAAAAATACATTTAATGAAAATGAAAAGAACGCAAACCCACACATAATTGTTATTGTTGTTAAAAGCAACTAAAATTGTAATAGAATTATGCAAATATACATACAAATATGGTGACAATGTTAAATTGCAGCTTTAGTTATTATTTTTGAACGAGACCGAGACCGAGACCGAGAAGGAGACGTAGACCGAGACGTACTCTCGATTTTAGACCGCACGCCAAAAAATGTACACCTAAGATACGGCATCTACACACTTCAATATGTTAGTTATTGGAGTTTCTGTTTTTGTTTAATGCATTTCTTATAAAACAAAAAAAACACACACGAACTAGACGCTCATAATTGAACTGTTATGCATGTGATGGTGTGTACGGGGAGCTTATGAAGCGACAAAACATTTCTTTTCATTTAAATTCACACACACACACACACACACACACACCTACACATTATACTTATTTTACAGTGCATTATTATATATTGCTGATTATCGTTAAATAAATTCACAATTTGAATTGAATATGTTGAATAAACTTGAATCCAAAACAACTCGTTTTTAATTTGCTGTTTACACATTTTTTGTCTAGGCTGAGCTTAAATTGTCAACAAAGGAGGATTAATTGGCTCCAGAGGAAATTTCATCTATGATGACATTTATGTGAGATGAAAAGAAAGCAACGAGCAAATTTTGAAAATCTTAAATCAGTTGCCTTCACTTCAAACTTTACTCGACTACTTTGGCAAATCAAAAACCTGCTCCATGTTTAACAAATGCTTATTTAAATACAGTTTTATTTTTTAGATATTGACAAATATTGCAAATAGTTTCATAGTAGGAAAGGTTGTTCAGATTGTATGAAATCGTGTATTTTATTTAATTAACTTTTACAAACTAACAACAGTGCTGTTGAGGACAATTTGGCTGAACTATAGGCCTCTGACGAGCCGCATTAGAGTGTAGGGATTCATATTGCTCAAAAATTTAAGCTGCTCTTCGAAGCCCGGCTGCGTCTTTGAGATCCAGTGACGATCCAAATAGTAATTGATATAGCTAATGAATTCCTTGTCCGTGTAGTTGCCGACATGGACAGGCACAAACGGATCCAGATGCTCGAAACCCTCCTTGCCAAGCAGATAGCGTGGCATATATGAAGCCATGTAGCCCTCGGTCATGGCTATTTTGTCAACGGACAGAACACAAACGCCATTGGTCCAGTCGTAGCTGGTGATGTCTAGAAAAGGTTGCGTTAGAGTTATGCGATCCGGAGACACACGCTGCTTATTGTCGGAAAAGATGCGCGTAATGGGATGAAAGAAGGCATTGTATCCATCAATGGCCACCATGATCTTACACTGCCCGGCAGTGGCAAGCTGTTTCAGTTCCGAGATCAGCGCAGCTGTCGTTTCCGAGGCATACTTGATTCGCGCAATGCCATGCTCCACCAGCTCTATCAGTGTAGCGCCAGCTGGCGTGCTCTCACGCTTGCTCCACACGTACTCCTTGCTGGTCTTTAGCTGTAAGCGTTGCAGCAGTTTGGAGTTTTGCGCTTTAAAATGTATGAGCCAGGCGGCAGCATCGAATGGCAGATCAATGTAGCCCTCTTGGCTGGCTGAATTGGCTGCCTCCTTGGGCCGCTTCATCCAGTTGGGTGCCCAAGGCACATGCACCAGCAGAAAGTCGTTCAGTGCGCCATAATGCAAAACATGTGCCATGGTCAGGGTCTTGCCCACGCCATTGTCGCCATATAGCACATAGCGTACCGCCGGTTTCGTCAGATCCGCATTCTTGATATAATGCAACAGCTCCAGGGCAGGAGAGCGCACCATTAGGCAGGCTTCTGTAAATGTTTTTATCTGTTGCTCGTACTGCTTCGGTAAACCGCCTCCGCCAAAGATTTGCTTCTTTTCTTCCATGGGTATGGTATAGAATTTAGCCACATGCAGCTCCGAGTGCTCACCGGGATTGGTTACGCCAGTCCGAAACTCATTGATGACGGGGGGAGGTGCGGTTGCCGTTTCAGCCGGTGCCACATTTGTTGACATTTCTGCACCGCGGCTCGCCGTACGGGATGCTATTACATTACGAGGCAGGTGCGTTGAGACGCGCGACAAGTTAACAAATTGTTTGCGAAGCATTTTCATTAACAATTTACCATGCAAATCGAACTTTAGCTCGCGAGCGTGTGTATTGAATAAGACCTGCAAATCAGCTGGCAATTATCGAAACCGATTACATGTGCGTGCGATAGTCGATAGCAATCGATAAGATATTCACGTATCGCTGTTAGCGTAACCGCCGATAAATACATTTTGAATTTTATTCTTGTTGAATGTAAATAACGTTAATTACTTTTAAGTATCAATTTGTTAATGTCTGAAATATGCAGGCATATTTTAATATTTCATTTTTAATTCATAAAATTATATATATCGGAACTATACATTCATTTTTGATATAGCTGTCATAGTAAAGGATTAAGATATTCTATAGCAGCCGATTTTTTTATAATATTAAATTTAAAAAGGAGTCTTTATCGTCAATAAAGCAAATGTGTACAAATTTTTAAATACCAGTTTTTTCTTTTATTAATTTGAGTACGTTAATTGTAAGTAGTTTTTCTTATCAGCTTATTATGCACCAGAAATATAAAATCAATTACATTAAAAGCAGAGAAACTTAGATAATATTTAATTTGTTGATAAGATCTTTTCTAGAAGAGAGTGTCACCATTTCCAGGCATTCGGCAATGTTGTCTAGAATCAGGTCATGTCTCCATTATTACTGCTGTCAGTTTATAGCATCTACGTATTCGGCTTCATATCCAAAATTTTCGGATACTCGTGTCAATTTGGATATATGCATCCAGCTGCAGTGCCCATTTATGAAGCCGAGATTAGTTGGGACTGTGCCGATCGCTACATGAAGTATGCCGACAAAGCGTTGAACGGGGTAAATAGCTTAAAGTATTCTAGTTTCTAAATAAAGATATGGACTGGTCATTTTAAAGGACAATATCAAATTTGCAATAAATTCGATATTGGTTTTTGATGAAAGGCAATCGGAATCGGGTACAAAAACAGCTATAGTCCAAGGCGGTATTGGTTTCAATTATACAACATTGCGTTTGAGCTGCGCTCAGTTTGCGGATGCCGAACCCAGAAGTGCCAAAGTAACTGTCCTCATATATGGCCTTCCCATCGAACAATAGGAAGAACCACTAATTGACGAATAAAATGAAGCTCCACAGTACAATAAAGAAAACAATTGCTGAGTGGATGGAATTTCTTGTTGAATATTTTTAATGAAACATATATCGTCTAGTGAGGTCATGTTCGTGTTATTTGCATATCAAGTAAACAAAAGAGATCAAGTTATTTAATCTTCTCAGGATCGTTATTTTTTAAAATGTAACAGTCATTAGGCAATTCGCTGCGCAGCAAAGGAGATATCCAGACCAAATACATCCGTTGGCCAAATACACTTTTCAGATTTTCGTAGATACCACAATTGTAATTGTGTTGCTTTCCCCTGTTGGCCTTCACCTCGCCACGTAGAACGAGCGGCACAAAATAACTTAATGCTATGCCAGCACCAATAACCGATAGCATTTTGAGGAAAAACGTAACTTTGAGTGCAATTTCGAAAGAATTGAAACACCATACAAATGGACCCCAAATCTGTCTACGTAAGGCACTTAATATATCCTCGATATATCTCGCAAATACATAATACAATTCATAGGCCATCGCATAGACCGTTGCGATGAATAGGTAGAATGTAAAGCACATGAAATGCCGCATATTCTGCTGGCCAATACAACAGCCCATAAAAATACAATGGTGATCGCGCTTTAGAATGCAAACGCCACACACCTTACAGTGCCACGATCTGGGAGGTGCTAAGCGATCGCAAGTGTTGCAATGTCGCCAGCCCAGACGCACTGCCTCGCTATCTGGCGGCGCCTTCACATGCTCAACTGAAAATGGAGAGGTATTACATGGAAATTTCCGAATTTGGCTCTACTCACGGTCGACGCTGGTGTCGATCATCATGCAGGCTATCATATTGCCCTTGATGTTAAACAGGAGAAAGATGGCCATTAGGAGTGTGAAAGTGTATAGATGACCGTCAGGTTCATGTATTTCCGGCAGCAGGACTAGGATATCAAATAGAAAGACAATGGGTATCAGTACGCCCACAGTTAAGAAACATATAATGTCGATTCGCCGACTGGGAAGTGGATTGCGTCGAAACTTCATTTGAAAAACATAACTCATAGAACCATTTCTTTAGAACCAAAAATTTGTTTCTTTGTTATTTTTTATTTTTGACAAGTTTAACGTGTTGTGAATGAATTAAAGCTGAATTTGTAGTTCACCTAAATTGTAGCTGTAGAGAAAAGTGTGCTCAGGGATAGTACTCAAAGATTTTGTGAGCAAAAATGATATTTGATTTATCGGGAATGGGAAATGGAAGTCAAAGATTGTATCAGGAAGGATTCATTTGCCACAAATGAAACTCAGCAAAACATTATCAAATGAAGTATATGTACTTCAACAAAACAGTAAATGGTCGAAAGATGAGCTTAAAACGTGGAGATTTGAGGAAAACATGTCAATTTTTATTTTCTCACGGGCAAAGGACGGGATTTGCCCGGGCAAATAAAATGAGCTAGTATATACTTTTGTTTAATATGTTATGATAATTTTGGAGGGATAATTTCGTCCAGTCTTCTCCAGTGCGACTTAGTTCTTTGCGTTAAATTCCTGGTTGGTTGTGTAACCGTCATCAGGTAGTTGGCTTTCGATCCATGGACATATCCAGGCGACATGCATCCGTTCGCCAAATACAGTTTTCAGATTATAGGAGATGCCGCAATTATATTTGGTTTGCTTTCCCTTTTCGGCACACGTCTCGCCGCGCAATAGCATGGGTATTTGGCACGCCAATCCAAGGAATCCGCATATTAATGAGAAAGTGTTAAGCACAATTATAATGTATTGAACATGAATCCAAACACCGCAACCAGTTATTAAGATGATGGGTGTCAGCTCCATTGATGCCTTCCAGCAGTGCATGAAGTCGTTGTTCGACCACATATAGGCTGCTTTAAAGACCAGGCCGACTGCCGACAGGACGAAAAGATACCAGAGAAAAAAGATGAAAAATCGATGATTCTGATGGCCAATGCAACAGCCCGTGAATCCACAGTGATGATCGCGTTTTCGTATGCAAACATCACAAAATTTACAGTGCCACGACCTGGGAGGTGTTACACAATCGCAGACTTGGCAATATATCCACTCGGCCGACTCATCAAGAGGTACTTTAACTTCCCCTAAAAGTAAAAGTACGTAACTAAGGGTTCATGGTTAATCCCAGCTCGAACTTATACTCACGGTCAACGGCTGTGTCAACCAAGGTGCATGCCATTAGATTTGCGATCATGTTGACAAATGAGAATATAAATAAAACTACCGCTGATATGTGTAAAATATTGTCCCGCTCAATTATTTCCGGCAGTACCACGATGAAATCATATATAAAGACTAGGGGCCAGAGTACGAGTATAATTAGGAGACACAGCAAGTCGCCAAACAGTCGTGGCATGGGATTTCGTTGAAACTTCATATGAATAATTTTTTTTTACGAATTCTTACAGGTATACAAAAATGTTCTCTAATAATTTATAGATTTATATATGTTTGCTTATGATGTAAATTTCAGGCATACTAAGATGGGTTCTGTATCTAAGAACATTTGTTAGCGGAGCGTCTTTCTGAGAATTCGCAAAAGGGTCTTGAGTAGCCTCCAGTTAGTCGAGATTCCTTCCAGGGTAGTAAAAGGTTTTCCTTATGCTCCCTACTATTGTATAAACAAACCTCCTTACTTAAAAGCTTTAAAGGACAAAGTACTTTTATCGTGAGAGCATTATCCATTCTTTTAAAGAAATGCAATTTAAAATGCTATATGGCAACTTTTAATTCCAAATTTGTAAGATTCTTATCATTTTTAGATATAGATAGATCATATAGGTCTACAAATAAGTCCTTTTACATTTTATGTTGTCCTTATTATACTCTGTTCGCAAGGCGAAATAGGAGTATATTAATTTAGTCCGAGAGTCAGCTAAAGGGACTTAATATTTGGAACATACAGAGCTAGAGTCCCCAAATACTTATGACTTCTGCTAAAGATGTACATATTTCCTCACATCACAGTTTGAAGGTGACTGCGTGGTGCTTACAGTCTTAGAGTCACCGGAGGTACAAGAAGAAAGAGTATTGCGCAGTCATTTGCATCATTCTGACTTCAACGGAGTAAACTTAATTTGACTTCTTGGTTTCCATTGACTTCTCAGCAGAGTTGGTCGTCCAGGTGTAGCCATCATCGGGTAGCTGGCTTTTTACCAAAGGTGATAGCCAGGCGACATGCATACGTTGGCCAAAAACACTTTTCAGATTACAATAGAGTCCATTGTTATATGTGTGCTGCTTGCCGCTCTCTGCACAGACCTCACCGCGCAGCACAATGGGCACATGATATGCCAATATCACACTGGCATACAAAAGCGCCAAGATGTTCAGGCTATAGAACAACAGCTGCATGTTTGTCCAGAAGCTGCCAATCACGAGCATGAACATGGGACACACTAGTTTCACGGCCGTCAGCCAGTTGCAGTAAATTGATCCATTAAGCAGCCACATATAGACCGAATTATAGGCCAGGGCGTAGATCGAGCCCACCAGCAGGTACATCGTGAAGCACATGAAATACCGATGATTTTGATGGCCAATGCAACAGCCCGTAAAGAGACAGTGATGATCGCGTTTCAATATGCAAACACCACACACCTTACAGTGCCACGATCTGGGAGGTGCTAATCGATCGCAGGTGGTGCAATATCGCCACCCCAGACGTACTGCCTCGCTATCTGGCGGCGCCTTGACATGCTCATCTGAAAACGAGGGCCATTACAAACGAGTAAGGTGGAAATCTTGGCATTTAGTTGAAGCTTCACTCACGGTCAACGCTGGTGTCGATCACCATGCAGGCTAACATGTTGCCCTTGATGTTGAACAACAGAAACATGGCCATTAGAAAGGTGAAGGTGTGCAAAAAGCCCCCAGGTTCGTGTATAGCTGGCAGCACAACGATTATTTCAAATATGAATACAATGGGCAGAAAAACACCAATAACTAGATAGCACAGAACATCGACCAGCCGCCGAGGGAGCGGATTTCGTCGTACCCTCATTGCGATCAAACCGAAATGGAACTGATTAACTGGGCCCAACAACTTTCGGCCGGCCTCTCATAACCGGTTCGTGATCACGTGCAGAAGCTTTTAGCTGAGCAGCAAAGCTTTGTTATCAATGAATAAAAATGCTTGCCATAGAGTAAAAGATATACATAATTAACCACAATTATACTTATAGATATTTGTATAAATGTGCTTATAAATAGATGATAGATTTGAGACAACGCACATAAAACTAAGTATTTAGTTCAATTGATCAACTTTGATCTACCAATGATCAATCTGTGTCGTGCAATGCCGGGTAAACTTGGCTAATCTTTCATATTTGTGCTTTTTTGATATGCATAAGCTTTAATTTGTTGCAACAATAAGTGATAAGAACTCAAGAAAAATATTGATTACATTTTCTTTATCTTATCAAGCTACATATGGATAAGGCATACGTTAGCCAAGAAGTATATTTTTTGATATGACTGTCAGAATCTCCATAATGCACATAGCTTTATATATTGAATTATTGAAAAAATAATCATTTTTAAATGTATATCAATGCATTTACTGAAAATTATGAAACAAGTCTTTAACAAATAAGAAGTAAAGCATATCTCTTAAAAACTTGAGAAATATATATAGATATTTAGGTCTTCGGACTCTACTCTATTCTCTTCCCAATTGATTAGTAAGTCAGGGGAACATGCTTTGGGAAGTTTTTTCTTTAAATATTCTATTTCGTCGGCACTTCGTGCTTAGTGTATGCCAGCGCCAAGTCCGGTAAGCTACGCAATTGACAATGTAGCTATAATAAAACCTTGTTCTTTCTTCTTCCTTTTATTTGATTCATTTTGCCAACAATTGGCCAGATATTTTGAGTATATATATGACAGGTAGGCTATATATAGAGGTCACGCTTTGTCAAAATTGAAGTGAACCAAGTTCTCAGTAATTAGCACACGCTTCGTTCGAAGAGTGTATGTCCTGCATATCTAATTAGTGTCTTTAGAGAGCGCAGCGAAAACCACAAAACTAATCAGGTGAATTGCTTGCAATCAATAAGCTTTAATTATTATGCAACCAGCTCCATTTACTTGGAAGCAAGTAATTACCAAGCTTAATCGCCCTGTGGGATTTTCAATGTCTTTGAGCATACTTGAGTATAAGTAGCTCCGAATTGTGGCCAAATAGACGCAGTAGACGCAATGGCGGCCAAACAGAAGAGTCAAAAGAGTTTGGCATTTTTCTTAAATAGTTTCAAGAAAAGCCTGAATGTGTTTCTAAGGGAAACTGGACTGCATGGACTCAAATTTGTGGGCGACTCAACGCTCAGCATTTGGGAAAGGTAAAAGTTTACACTAAATAATACTCCAGCTGCGATTTAGTCCTGGCGAGTTGCAGATCCTTCTTCTTGATTGCATTCTTGGCCGCATTCGTGATGACCTGTCAGCTGATAGCGAATATTTATGCCAAGTGGAATAGTACGCCAGTTATCATAGGCATCAGTCCGCATGCCACATCGATTTTGAAGGTGCCCTTCCCGGCCATAACTATATGCAACATGAATCAGGTGCAGCGCAGCAAAGTGCTGCAATACAAGAAGTGAGTGCTTCCAGTATTTATATGTGATTACCACTCATTGATTTCTGCCTAAACTAGGGGTTCGAGTGAGTTTGATGTTCTGAAACTGCTCTGCAGTCCCGAGTCGGCCGAAACTGAGGAATCTGTTGATACTGACCCAATGATGTGGTCCACTTCTTTTTGCAACAACAGCTTAAAAATATCCGACTTTGTGACCAATCATTCCCAGCCTTGCGGACAAATGCTGCGGTATTGCAGATTTAGTGCCGTGGAGTATGATTGCGCCCAATTATTCCGCCAAATTATCACTGATGAGGGCTTATGTTGTGTATTCAATTTTCTGCCTTCAGAGTTTTTATATAAGCCCTAGTAAGTGGCCTGACTAAATCAAGATGAATCAATATAATCATTTATCTCAGTTCGAACAGTGGCAGAAACTTAACATCAAGACTTGGACACGTGCCCGTCGCTTGGGACCCAGAAACCGGATATCCCGACAACTTGCCAAGATTATATTATCCAACAACGGCCGTTGGTAAATGCTTTGTGTTCTAGCATAATTATGACCGTATTATGACTGCCAAATTTCATAAAGGTACCGGCATAACAATGGGATTTACGGCTGTTCTGGATGCACAACTGAGCGAATATTATTGCTCCTCTACGAACGGAATTGGTTTCAAGGTCTGTATATAAATCTATAAGCTCCTTAATAAGGGATTACGTAAAAAACAGGTTCAATTTGGGAACGGAACTCATAATTTAGAATAGAATAGCATATCGTACACAAATGAATAATATGTTAATATGCTTATAATTCTCAAAGAGATTTAGCAATATGTTCGTCAAGTTCAACTAAACAACATAAATATAGCTTAATTAGTATACACTAGAGTTTTATAGGCTTAATTATAAGGAATTCAAATTAATTTTTAGATCCTATTTCACAATCCCATAACAATGCCAAATGTTAAGGAGGAGGGCCTTGTTTTGGGCGTTGGCTACGAGACGAACTTTCGCCTTGAGGTTAGCAGCTCAGAAGCGATGCCGACCATTCGCTCCATATCACGCGACGATCGACAGTGTGTTTTTAAGAACGAGAAGGAGCTGCTCTACCACAAGATCTACACACACAAATATTGTGAAAACGAATGCATCGCCAAGTTTCTGTACAAGTCCTGCAACTGCATACCCTACACCTATCCGCATATTTACAGAAATGCGAGCGTTTGCAGCGTGAGGGATTCGATCTGCATCCGTCGCGCCCAGCGTCCGGAGAATCGGGCGGAGTCGTCGAAATGCCGGAAGGAATGCCTGCCCAGCTGCTTTGATATATCATATGCAGCCGATGCGCTATACTTTCCCCTGGCCAAACGCGACTTCCGGATTGCTAACAAACAGGTGGCCAATATGAACAAATCCTATGTGCTGGAGAACATTGCCGTCATGAATTTGTACTACCGGGAATCTGCCTATTACGGCAGTATGAAGAACGTCTATATCGGCTTTACGGAGTTCTTGTGTATGCACTTGGCTCAGCAAAAATCTATGCACAATAACATTTCGCTTTTTCTATGCAGCTAATATTGGCGGTGTCATGGGATTGTTTATGGGTTTCAGCGTGATCTCAATTGCCGAAGTGCTCTACTTTTTAGTTTTGAAACCAATTTCAGAGCTCATATCATGGAAGCGCAGTAAAAAACTGGATGGCATTAAACATAATCCATTGGAGGTGACGGAAACGTATGGATTCAACCAAAACAAAAATATATGGCATACCAAAGAACTGTATCCCAAGGGAATCGCAGCAAAGAGCAGGAAAACTACAAAGAATCTTCGCATCAAAGACAGGCTAGATAAAAGGGCTTTTCTGTAAAATCATATTTAAAGAATTAGTAAATGTTTCGAAATATTCACCGTCACCAGCGGAACATGCGTGAAAAACTGTAATATGGATTACTAATTCCCCCGATCGGACAGACAGAGACAGTTGAACAAGAATATATATACAGGCTTTAACAATTTGCACAACTGCAATATATAATATTGAGTTCAAAAGGGTGAGGTTGATATAGGGAAGCCCACATGTTGGTCAAGAGTTGCTATGTCATCGACATATTCAATATTTAATACCAACAATGACATTTTAATATTTATTTGGGTTACAACGAAGTAGGACCCTTGAATTGGAATATCATGCAAAGGGACGCAAGTGCCCAAAAAAAAAAAGTAAATACTATATTAGACAATTACCTATAATAGCAGAGACTTAGTTAAGTATGCAAACTTTAATTACCTTGAGTGTGACGAGATAATTAAACGTATAACTTAACTTAAGCTTTCTCTGTATCTCTATCTTAGATGCGTATTTTGCGAGTGCTGCGAGTATAAAGTCTTTCACATGCGAGTACTCGTACTTTAGGCAAGCACAATAATGAAGGCAATATTCGGACTTTGGCTTAATTTGTGCTTCATGTTATTGCCAAGAACTAAGCAAAACTAGCACAAATGTGGTGTGTGAGTTTGTGTGTTAGCAGATGTTGACGAGAGTACTGATTGTAATTAAGAGTTCAGTTATTAAAAAAAAAGGGCAACAAAAAAGGGCCAGAAGGCCTTGGTTACCGAGTGCCTGCACAGAACATAGCTGCTCGTATTATATTTTATGCCAATATAAGCGCATTTTGCGAAATTGCTTTTCTGTAACCAAGAATACAAGAATATTTTCGTTATACAGTGTCTACCAACTGTATGTAACTGCGCAGCTCTTTAAGTTATCCTTGGAGTTGTAAGGCACTCGTAGCCCAAGCATTTCTGTGGCTCACCATTGTGGCACCAGTTTTGGCACTGTGTCGGAGCAGGGACACTTTTATATCTTTTGCAAAGGCTCTTGTTTCTCCTAGACATGGCAGACTTGTTCTTCAACGTTAATTGCTGACCTACACACAAAGTGACTAATTTAGTTCGTATATAATATACTTGATTTGAGGGCTGTTCTAACATTACTAGGATTATGAATAGAATAAATAATATGGCTATGATTAAGGTAAACCAACCTAATCTAACCGACTTGAACCCAATATTCAAATTTTACATTTTTTTAACAAGGCTTTGGTTAAAAATAAAAAATGTTGGACCAAGTCTCAAACCAAGATACAAAGATATAAAATATAGAAAATCTGGAGTCAAAGATGTTTAAAATGAGGTTCTTGAAACGAGCCTAAAGGCAAGAGTATAGAGTTGCAGCCCTGACAATACCATAAAATGGCATTGATCAATAATGATCAAAGAATGGTTATTATATATTATATATATTCTTATGCACTAGCATGCACGTATTTAAATAGAGATCGATTTGAAGAGTTTTTGAAACTAACCTCGTAGCAGCTTGATTTGTGTCTCTGTGAATTGCAGAAGCTGCGCTGGCAACTCAGCCTGGGCAAGTGCTAAGCGTGGCCCAGCCCACTTTCATAATTCCGGCGAGCAGTTGCCTGCGGTGCAGCTAGAGCAGTGCGTGCTGATAAGTGGGCGTGTAAGCGGATGGTTAGGTGCAGGGGGCGTGGCCGTTGGTTGGGCACAAAAAAAGGAATGAAATGCATTCTTGCATTTCAAGACAATTTGCGAAATTGCAGCGCTTGATGCTTTCACGTGCATTGCATCTGCTTTCCTTTTTCTTTTTGCTGCTCGGTGTTTTTATGGCAAGTCAACAATGTGGCCAAGTCGGGCATGAGAACAAGACAAGACCAGCACAAAAAATAGACTAGATTTGAAACAGAAACTGATGTGCCATGACTGGCAAGGGGTTTGGGTTGTGTTATATATAGCTTAAGTAAAAGCAACCCAGCTTTCAGCGATAAGACAACTGGTGCAAATGATTACGACGTGTTCATGGAATTCTGTACATCTACAGCACAGCTCCATAAATGTCAGGAACAAAGCAAGATTCAATTCTTTACGGCGTTCTTACCAAGCCAATGACAGTAACTGCTGCTCGTCCCAGCAGTCCCAGCCGTGCTTTGGCCCTCAATGAAAAATGATACCATTACATTTGTAGAAAACTGAAACGAACTGCAGGCGATTTACAGCATCATATTGGATGCAACACGAGTTGGTTAGCTAACGCGTGTATTAAATATGCCATTTTGTATGAATATGTACACAATATAATTTACAAGTTTGATAGGCTAGAGCGGAGCAGGGGCTCGAATGCACGTGAGTTCGAGTAATTAACAACCAATTTTCCAAGTAAAGTTGTCAAGTTGGCAATGAAGTTTTGCCCCTGCAAGCACAGTTAACACAGCAGGAATAAGGACTAGGTCGGATTTGATTAAGATGTAAATAATTTATGCTGGTTTGTTATGCTGCACATCCTACGTCCTGCGGTATGTGTACCAAATGGGGGCATCTTGACAGCCCTTAGCATTGTCAACTTTATGACATTCCACCTGAACTAGAGCTCCTTTATGGCTTCGTTATGCACAGAGCCCCAAAGTTGTTGTTGTTGTTGTGCAGCTGGGAGAATGTCTTACGTTAATGCACAACAACAGAATTTGGCACGTGTCTGCCCAGAATGGTATAAGGCTGAATAATGGCGGTTGAACTTGGTTTCGGGCGGGGGTTCGCTCAAATTCTACTTGGGTGCTGCTGATGTTGCTGCTGCTGCTGCATATGCCCATAAGTTGCATACGGAAAAGCAATTAAAACTTCTAGTCAGCTTCGGAAATGTACGTTCATATTTTATGATGTGTTTTCCTCAATAATGATAGTGCGAACGCCCAGACTGTGCACACACAGATGCACACCCACACACACATACACATACATGAATGTCGCAACACTTTGCGGCAGTCAACTCAATAATTTAAAATGCAGTAAAAATTGGTATAGGCCTACAAATACATGTACGTGATTAAGAGCGAGTGCATAGTATTTTTATAAACATGACTACACAATGTTTAAAATGTTGTTTTTGCGGAGAAATATGTAGTTTTAGTGCACATGGTTAAACATTCGCATTAAAGAACACGTATCTTATATTAAAGCTTGTGTGAAATTATTGCTGATATAAATTGTAGGCTGCCGCTTGTCGACTAACTTAAATTGGATCCAGAAAACGTCACTTTTTAATGCTTATGTTAATCTGAACAGACTGAAAATTTCTATGTCTTAAACTGGCGTTCGTTCAAATTGAGATAGTTACCAAAGAATCTTGAAGCTTCTTTCTCTGTTCAGCTATTTTATGATTTTTAAGTGAATAAACTTGTTTTTCACAAAAGATGTTGATCACAGCATTGAATTTAATGGCAACCACTTAGGACGCAATATTCGCTTGCCAAATGCTCGTATCTAACATTTGGCTAATGGAACCTTCGAGCGAGCGTTTTGCTGTTTGCCCCCCAACACGGCCATAAAATGGCTGACAGTAATAACAGCCATCCCGCCCACCAAAAGAAAACGTCAGCCCACCTGCAATATTTGCCAGGTGAGCCAAAGCCAAAAAGGGTTCCAAGAATGCGTCGCACAGACGCCCCGCGGTAAATATGCAAATTTGTCGCCGCAACCGCACCGCTCGTCACGTTCGTCCCGGCCCGCCTAATGCAGCAAAATGCATTTGAAATTGGATAATTTTACATATGCGAACAGCGCCAGGGGCAACGCATTACATTTGGCCAGGACTGAAAATGTATTTTGGTTACAACTGGACAGATAATATGCAGGGCAGCAATGTTTGCAGTTAGTTTCGCCGCTTGGCTGGGTTTTAGGTGGCGTCGGGATTGCGGATAGTGTGCTGGACAACTGGTAAGCCTGTCAGGCTGAATAATCACGACCATCAATCAGACGGCCACTGGGTGGCCAGCACACCTCATTAGGCTAATCCCACAATAGCGCACGGACGTGCCGGCGAACACCCTGAAACGGGGCCAGAACAACAGCAGCCGTAATCAGGAATCAAGGAAAGGGCTAAAGCCCAAACGCAATTTCCCATGCGCTTCATAATATTTCATTATAACGATTTGACTCTTGGTTTGCACTATTATGGATTTAAATATTCCAAATCGGCTCCAGTGTAAACTGTTGGGACGGTAATTATCTCTCGGACAAGATTGATCGCCATGTCTCTTAATTATCAGGCGAATTATCTCAGTTGCATTGGTCGCATTTGCTCAAACAAAACAAATATTTGAAGGCACAACAAACTGTTCCCAGTGTTTTGTATTGCGCAGACTCGAAAAATGGTGCAAAAGAGAGCACAGCATCCACAAGCTTCGCAACTTCGGAACGTTGGGGATGGTAAATGCGAGCTATACGAAACGACAGGAGCTCAGTGCTTTGATGCCATCAGAGCCGAGCACATGTTACAGTCGCTCGCCAACAGGTTGTAAATGAAAAATGCGAACTTTTTGGCAATTCCTGCAGTTAAGCAAAGCACTTAGCAAAAATTATTTAAAATTCCACAGAACTAATTTAGTCCTGGGTCAATACCCAGACGATGTTTAAAGTTCTTATTTATATTCGATCTTATTCTCATTTGATTCTTTGTTCAAAGAATCTTCGACAATTCTTAAGTTCTCTTCTCTCTCTGGATTTATGTACGGAAATCAAATTGTTATATGAATAGAAATTCAGTAATATGGTCTCAACTTAAATGCAACTTTACTTAAAACGCAGTCCTATATTATATGCTATATTATATTTATGATCTATATTTTCTTATTTTTATACAAATAAAATAGCCGCGTGGCGTTTGCAACTAACCCAGCTCCAATGAATAGCCTTATATATACTGCTATCTCTTTTAAGTTAACATACATGGTCGGCATTTATAATATTATGCACACATACATACATACATACCCCATAAGCAGCGGGCCGCCGCGT